AGAGCAGAGTGTGTCTGGGGCAGGCAGGCGGGTGTGGCCCTTGGACTCATACAGGCCTCACCCTGTCATTATCACACTGGCTCTTCCCTCCCAAATGAGGATGCAGAACCAGATTCTGGGTCAACATCCACCTTGCTGTCTCTGGTCCTTGACCGCTACAGCCTCTGCCATGATGGGACCACCTGTCCCTGCCCCAGGCCATCCTTCCACCATGGGGAGGAGGAATCCTGTCTGCACCTCTTGGTGAACAGAGCCTGACAGTGTCAGCCCTCTCGTCTCGCCTGGTCACACGCTGTCTCTGACCCCCACACATCCCAACAGGCAGGCCTTGCTCCCCGGGTGAGGGAAGGTGGCAGCTGAGGGGCTCCTTCTGGGGTGCTCTCTGGTGCTGGAAGCTCCGGGATCCTTATCCACATGGCCCTGCTGGTCTGGGCCATGAACACACCAGTTCGTGGCTGACTCAGACCTTGGGGGGGGACCCAGTGCCGCCTCTTTTTGAGAAGGCTTTGCCAAGTCACCTGCTCCGAATGGCTTTGGGGATGAGAGTCATGTCTTTGCTGAAAGCAGCATCCCAAAGGAGGGAAAACCACCCCGTGCATGGCGGTTCTGAGGCCCCCACGGTGCTTTGGTCATATCGTAGGTATTATAAACACAGCTGCATGGGGAGGGAATTTGGACGATCTGTCTGCTCCTAGGAACTCATCAAAGTGGAACTGAAGAGAGGTAGGGAGGATTTGTCGCTCTTCCCTTATGGGGTCAGTGGGCTTGGAAGGTTCCCAGACATCATCAACACCTCTCTCTAAGTGATAAAACTGAAGATAAGAATTTCATTTTAGTTTAAGTCTTTTGAAAATTAATTCTAATGTAATGCCTGTTCCTTAGAGACAATTTGGAAGATATAAAAAAGTAAGGGGAGGGAAAGAGAACAAAACCCACCCACAGTCTCAGCATTCCAGCACAACAAGTATGCAATAAATAGGAAAACAACTTGTCATTTTCAACTTGCAGTTTTCACAGACGGTCACAAATTTTTTTTTTTTTTTTGAGACAGAGTCTCACTCTGTTGCCCAGGCTAGAGTGCCTTGGCATCAGCCTAGTTCACAGCAACCTCAAACTCCTGGGCTTAAGTGATCCTGCTGCCTCAGCCTCCCAAGTAGCTGGGACTACAGGCACGTGCCACCATGCCAAGCTAATTTTTTCTGTATATTTTTAGTAGGCCAATTAATTTCTTTCTATTTTTAGTAGAGATGGGGTCTGGCTCTTGCCCAGGCTGGTTTCAAACTCCTGACCTTGAGCGATCCTCCCTCCTCGGCCTCCCAGAGTGCTAGGATTACAGGCATGAGCCACCACGCCCAGCCAATGGTCACAAACTTTGATGTGAGGTTTTTATTCCTGTTACCCCTAACAGAAGTTATATATTTAGTTGCCGATTCATCACCCCTCAGGCCTGTTCCCCTACAGACTCCCTGGGAGCTAAGGTGGTAGAGCAACAGTTTGGAGCCCATGAAAAAGAGCAAAAGAAAACAATGAGGGACAAATGGGAACGACCCCAAGAAGCCCAGTTATCAACCTCTTCCCATTGATGGCAATGATGATATTTGGGTTGAATATTCAATGTCAGGACTACAGACTGCTCTACTCGTAGAATACTCCAGCCTCTATACCCAGACAGCAATTGGGAAATAGAGCAGTTGCAAAAGATGTTGAATGGACTTCATTAGCGAAGCCACAGCCCAGCGGGCGTGGTCTGCACAATATCACGTCGCTGCCTCCAGTGGTGAGGAGAAGCCCCCGGGGAAGTGGTGTGGCCGTTGCTCCCAGAGCCTCCGTCCCCTGCCTACTCGGGCCAGTTGATTTCACTGGGTCACTCTGCTTTTCCGAGGGGCCATGGCAGTATAAATAATAAAGCAAGAGAGGCAGATCCAGTTAGCCGGCTCAGCGGACTTCCCCTGAATGTGCTGTGAGTATGACATCTTCCCTCTGCAAAGATGGAGTGCTTGCCTTCTGTTCCTTGCTTCAGACTGAGGGAGGATATCTCTGGGTGGTGTATTAAAAGAAAGTCCTAGAGATGTTCCAAAATCTGAGGACACCCCTTCCCCTTGAGGAGCTCACTGGGTATCTTCGAGGGAGGAATTGATGCTTTTCTGGAGTAAAAAGCTTGATGGGCGTGGGGCTGGGAGTGGTCCTGAGAGACAAGGCAGCCTCTGCAACTCGGGTCCTCCTCGCTCTGTGCCTCTGGCCACCCTCAGCCTTGATGGGAGCTGTTGGTGCATCTCTATCTCTCCCCAAGAACAGAGGTTGCGTCCACCAACTCACTATTTCATGGAGAAAGTGAGGCCGAGCAGTTTGTCGGGTGCACGTTTGCAGAGTGGCCTTGGCTGATTGGAGTCCCACTCTGACTGTCACCGATGCACGTTGCAGCCTTGGTCTCCTCCTTTACCCACCCTGGGCCTTGCTTTCCCCTGGAGGGCATGGCTGGTCCTGAAGTTGATGGTGGCTCAGCTTTTCCAACCCACATATTCCCTCGTCTTGGCATGAAGTCACCGAAGGGGAGGAGGACCAGGTCAGGTGGAGAGCTGGACAGTTCTCCAGGGTTTGGAGAAGTCCGTGGGCTGGCCGGGCTGAGGATCCGTCAGCAGCGTCCACGGGGACTGTTTCCTGGGCATTGCTCTAGTGCCCCAGTGCCCGACACATAAGGAGAACTCAAAAGTATTTCTTAAAAGAATGAAGGCAGAAATCTACAGAGCAAAGGAAGAAGTGAGATGGTGCACATGTGCTCCCATGCTTTGTTCCCCAGGAAGGAGGAAAAAGTGTATTGTAGCAGTTATTAGAATTCTTTTATGGGGCTTCTTGTACTTCCAACAGGGGAAATGGATATGTTCTAAAGTTTAGTTCTAAACTTGCCTTTAACTATAGTAATTTAATTTTTAATATATTCAGAGTGATTTCCCCTTAAAACAATATCCATCCCTTAAAACAGTTGGACCACAGAGCATGCCTGGAATGTCTCTTCAAGTCCAGGACTTTGGCGATGGGCTGTCGGGATCCAGAGCACGTCTTTAGGAAGGATCCCTCGGGTGTCTCAGCCCGGGCAGGGCACTGAGTTTACCCAGTGTTGCACACTCCATAGGGGAATCTCCCGAAAGGACCTCAGGAAAAGTGGGGTCCCGAGGGCCTGGGGTTCCTTGGGGCAGGAAAGGATGCCTGGTGTGTGTCCAGCCTGCAGGAAGGGTCTCTCCATGGGGCAGGGAACATTCTGGTTGTCTGAAGCTCAGGACACTGGGTCTGAGAACTTGGCCAGAGCATCCCAAGCTTTTGGGTCTTGTTGGTTTGAGGAAGGATATCACATCAACAGCCAGTCGGTTTCATGCCAGGGAAGAGAGGCAGGAGAGTAAACTATCGGGAGAGGGGTGACCTCTCTCCTCTAAAGTAAGCGGTTCCCAACCACGTGCACTGGGTAGACCTTCCGTCGCCTGTGTGCTCGGTTTGTTCATTGTTGTTTCCTCAAGCTGCTGGTGACATGTGGGAAAGCATTTTGTAAAATCACTAATGTTGTTGTTGTTAAATCGGCGGTTGCATGTCACTGTCACTCCAGTCGGCTGATTCCAAAGCAGGTGGGGACAGTGTGGCAGGTGGAAGCAGTGCCGTCCCCATGGGGAAGCCCCTCGCATGGGACTGGAAACCACCTGAGCTGCTCGTTCGGAGGCCTTCGAGCCGGCTCGGCTCTGTCTTCGGGAGGGCTGGCTTCTGGGTCAACGAGATGCGATTTTATTTATTCATAAGAGAAGGAAACTATTTTTCCAATAGGGAATGCAGGAGTGGACGGTCAGAGAAGATCTGAAATACTGATCATAGCTTTATCTTCCCCCTACGTACCCCACAGCGTTCAGTCTCTGTCTTGTTCCATTTCTTCTTGATTTTATTTCCCTTCTATTGATTTATTTAGTGTAACTCTGGGTGACAACCAGACACTCACATTCCAGACTAAAAGCCAACAGAGAATTGCTCAATTCAGGAGAGCAACCTATCAATTTATTGAGAAATAACCAGTTGCTCAGTATTTTAATTGATGGAATTAAAAAATTAGCCTACTCAGGCGTCTTACCCGCCTGACAAATTTGGGTCAGTGCAGAGCCCATGGCGGTAGATGGAAAGGCCCAGAATGGAGCGAGAGTGTGCTGGGGGTTTTTTTTGGGGGGGGCAGGCCAGGTTGTGGTATTCAGGGGTGCCTGGGCTGGTGGCCTGGTGGGGACCACCACAGAGGGACACAGGCTTGTAGGGGGGGAGGAAGCTGAGACGTGGCCAGGCCAGGGTGTGGGCTGTGCCCCCTTCTGATTAGCAGCATCTAGTGGGGAAGAGACCAAATGACACCCCCCCCCACCATTTAACAGATGAAGATACAAAAAGCCTGCAGGGCTGGAAGACTTTTCTCGCACCACCTGACAAACACCTGAGTGGGAAAAGACCGATGCCCAGACTCCGAATCCCATAGTCAGTTCTGGTTTCTGACACTCTGCAACATAGAGATTTGTGGGGGCCGAGGCCCAGGCGTCCCCGTAGAGCTGTGAGGGGGGGGGTGTCTCCGGGCTGGAGCTTGTGTAGTTTCTGCTCCAGGCCTGCCTGGCCCGGGCTTGTCCCCATAGCTCCTGCCAGGTTGCTCAACGGCCCTGAGTCTCAGCTGGCTGGCAGCCCCACTGCCCAGAACGTTCCCTTAGAGTGACATGTCTTCACTGCTCCACTCCTGCACCTTGGGAAATATCGCCCACTCGGAGGAACCGAAGCTTCTATTTTTAATCCGGCGGCCTGTGTGAACAGTCCAGCCCACTAACCCCTGAGATTGAATCTTTTCTACTTTCTAGTTTCCTTTTTTTACCTGAAGCAGCCTGTAGGATTTTACCAATTTCTCTTATATAACCTATTTTCAGACACCACACAGGGCCTTGTTCATCACCAACTATTTTTAATTTTTACCAAACAAAAAAGTAGCCCCTGTGAATGGAAGGTGCTTAGAGAACGCCCGGGCTCAGAGAGGGAAAGCGCCTTGCAGAGTGTCGCGCAGCTCTGGAGGCAGGAGGTCAGAGCACAGAACTCCTGACCTCCTGGTAGTCCCGGCATTTCTTTTAATATTGACTTGTATTTGTTAGGATACTTTGGGCTTCGAGAAACTGACCATGTAACTTGACATCACTGAGGGTGTAGGGGCGGAGGGCCCTTGGGGTGATTATAAAGGTTAAACGCTAAAAAGGATGTCAAAACACCCATCAGTTAGTCACTGTATTTCTTCTTCCATGTGGCTTGCTTATTGATAAGACAGAGGCACGGGGTTCTTTGGTTCTTTTTTCTGCTAACCTCAGGTCTACTACTCAACAGGACAATTCCCAGGGAAAATGAACCCCACGCTGGGCCTGAGCCTCTTTCTGGCTGGCCTGCTCACCACAGAAGGTCTTCTGAAGCCCAGCTTTTCGGACCAGAATCATGAAACTCTGGACCGGTCCCAAGAGAGGAAGGGTAGGATGGCGGCCAAGGAGCTTGCAAAGCGGAACATGGCTTTTGGCTTCAAGCTGCTCAAGAAAATGGCCTCCGTCAACTCGCACAAGAACATCTTCTTTTCCCCCTTGAGCATCTCCACGGCCTTCTCCCTGATGTGTTTGGGGGCCCAGGATGACACCCTGGCCGAGATCAAGCAAGGATTCAATTTCAGGAAGATGTCAGACAAAGATCTCCATGAGGGCTTCCACTACCTTATCCGCAAGGTGAACCAGGAGACCCAGGGCGTCAAGGTGAAGCTTGGGAACACCCTGTTCATGGACAAGAAGCTGCAGCCACAGCGGGAGTTTCTGAGAGATGCCAAGAACTTGTACTACGCAGACACTGTCCCCACCAACTTTCAGAACATGGAAAATGCTCGGCAGCAGATCAACGATTATATCAGTGAGAAAACCCATGGGAAAATTAACAACCTGGTCAAGAATATAGACTCTGGCACTGTGATGCTTCTTACAAATTATATGTTCTTTCGAGGTAAGTCTCATGGCATGTAGGCATAGAAAGGATAGGGTGACCATTAGACTGGGATTAAAAATATGGGTTGGCCACTTGCTTGCTCTGTGACCTTGAATTCATATGTGACTAATCTCTCAGAACCCCATTTTTCTATCTGTAACACATCAGACAATTCCTGGGATTCAAGGTGCAAATGTACGTGAAATGAGTTCTGTGGAGTCTGTCATTCTCCATATGCAACATTTTCATTATTGCTGATCATCCTAACACGACATTGGTCGTAGAGGTTGGAGGGACATTTTTTCCCCATTTCTTAGGTGACAAAAAATTTCAAAGAGAGGTTCATTGACTTACTCCAAGTTACAAAGCTGTCAATAAGAATCATGACTAGAACTCATTTCTCTTGGCCCTAGGGCCATGCACTTTCCACCACTCCAGGTAGACAGGTGGTGATTGCATTGATTATGGTGATGATGATCACTTGGTGGATGCCTTGGTCTCCATGTCGGACTTTGTATATATTCCCCAAGTCTGAGAGAGAGGCTGAAAAAGAAGACAGAAGAAGGTTCTCTAATTTGAGCTTCATGCCCCCCCCCCACCACCACACACACACACACACACACACACAACACATGCACCCACATGTGTTGGCCACAATAGGTTAGAATCAGAGGCCAACACCCCTCAGTCCAGGCGAATCACTGCTGGGCTTGTCAGCAACATGGTCCTGAATTTGGAAGTTCAGGCCTCCCAAAATCCACAGGGAGATTGATGACTAGAGAGGAAAAAATAAGTGATAATGGCAGTCTGAAACTTCAGTTTGCCCAAACTAGAGAAAAAGGAAGGAGAATTTTGAATTTCCCAAAGTCCCTGTGTTCTGTAGATCACAACAGGAACAATAGTGACAAGTAATGATGCTTACAATGACTAACATTCACTCTACACCAGCACTGAGCATGCTGCCCCGTCCCACCAAGTCTCAAGGTATCTCTATGAGGTAGCTGTCACTGTTCCCATTCTTTCAATAAGAGCATTGAAGTCCGGGGAGATTGACATACCTATCCATGGTCATCCTTTTAGAACAATGAAGCCAGGATTCGAACTCAGGGACTTGGCTCTATAGTGGGGTCTCTGAGGGTAATAGGTTCGAAAAGACTCAGGCCTGAGTTTATGACCAATGGGGTCAAACCATCACCAGGGCAATAAAAGCGGGGTCTAAACACCCAGCTTTGAGTGTTCACTGCTCTTCAGCAAGCTCCCAAAGGCAGCCTGTTTCATTAGTTTTCTTTCCTCCACAGAGTGGCTCCTTCAGGGCTGACTTAGAATGGAGTCAAGCATTTTCACTCATGTCAGACCCAATTAAGCCCCATTAATTGTAATGCAGTCCCTTCTGTTGGAATATAAGCCACATGCTTTCTCAGGCTCAGGGGCACCTGGGCTTATGGCCGTCTACTGCTCTCCTCCCAAGATGGCGGCCCTAGTTCTGGCTCATTTGGGAACAGATAATTGCGTTTGAGCCTGTCTCATCAGAAGTCTTCAGGCATGGCGTGAGGACAGGGACTCATAGAGTCCTTGCCTGATATACCAGAATATCCTGACCCCTTACCCTGTGTGGTCAGAATCTATGTGGACAGAAACCAGTAGTTAGTTGGATCCAGTCACGTCTTTTCCCACAGGATGCTTACATTACTTTGTCATTCTTTAATCTTAAGCCAAGTGGCAAAATGAGTTTGATCCAAAATTAACTAAAGAGGAAGCTTTCATTCTGGAGAGAAACAATTCAGTGAAGGTGCCCATGATGTTCCACGGGGGCATGTACCAAGTTGGCCGTGATGACCAGCTCTCCTGTACCATCCTGGAAATTCCCTACCTGAAAAACATCACAGCCACCTTCATTCTTCCGGATGAGGGCAAGATGAAGCACCTGGAGGAGGCCTTGGAGGAGAACATTTTTGCCAAATGGAAGCCATTAATGTTGCACAGGTAAGGAGAGTGCCTGGCTCACATAGCATCTTCCTTCCTCCTGCCTCCCCTTCTACTCTGTTGTTTCCACCCCAGATTCCTTGAGCTCTCACCTCACAGCCAAGTCCTCTTCTGGGCTCTGTAATGACCTTATGTTATGGTGGGAAGCAGATTGGGAAAAGAAGTCAGAGGAATACAGTGAAACATTTGCTATTTGAGGGGATGCATCACAACTGTGGGAATATAGTGGATAGAGTCTTGGTGGAGAGTGACCACAGGAAGGACTTCACAGAGGAGGGGGCCTCTGAGCTAAGTCTTTAAGGCTGAGTAGCCATCTGTTTGGAAGGGAGAGGAGCAATGCAGCCCTGAGCAAAGGAGTCTGCAAGAACAAACATGGAGCATGAGAAGGAGCCGGGAGCTGTTCGTTGTGACTAGAATGATGTTTTCAACTGAGATGTCACAACAAAATCAGTGAAGTGTGTCCCATGTACGTTCTACTAATAATATTGTTGAAGGACCAAAGGGAGTAAATATTTTTCTTTTAAGACACTGAACTTAGAGCAGATTTATGGTAAGCCTACATAGTACTCTCTCAGGCACTTGCTCAGTGATAGATTTTCCTGGGAAAAGTATGGGTTGGTGCTAGAGTTGAGTCCTGGGGACTTGGTGTCAGTGTGGACGTGCATGGTGCCTTAAACATGACTGGGCAAGAGAAGGATCTATGGCAGCCAGGAGGGTGGGGGATGAAGCAGAGGGAGGACAGGAGTGGTGCCAGATGTCCTCCACCCTGTTCTTCTGTTCCCTTTTCCACCTTGTCCCCACCATTGTTCTCCATCCATCTCCATAAAGGCCTTCACTGAGAACCTCTGCCACGCCTAACATGCTGTCAGGCATCAAGGAGGGTTCCAAGAGAGGTAAAGGTGATGCTAGGACTGAGCTGGGCTGCCCTTAGGTGACAACTGAAATGATGCCACTTCTTTCCCACGGGAACACAGGCTTGGAGGAATTGCAGAAACGTCTCTGATACTTACAGTTAGCTGAAAGCTCATAAAAGGGAGATTCTGGTTCTGAAAGCTTCAGATACAGTCACAGTTCTGGGAGGGAGAGCCCAGTGGCAGAGCATGCCAAGACAGCTGTTGTCCCTTGCGATCTGCACAGCCTCACCTGCCCTTCCTGCTTAGACCCAGGGATGGCAAGAGTTGGCTGAGTCTGGCCACTGACGCAGGAGGAGAGGACTGGGTTTCAACCTTAGCCGAGACCTGGTTTTCTCATCCATGATGGTGGCCATAATATTGCCAACCTTAGAGGACTCTGGAGAGAATTAAACGTGCCAGAGCACAGTATTACCCCACAAAGGCAGGTTCCTTTCTCCTTCTCCTCCTCCTTCTGATTGGTTGAAGAGGCAAAGTTCCAAGTGTCTCAGTGGATCTTTTGAACCTCTGGTTTATTGAATGACAGGTGTCCTCCAAATCTGATCTTCCTATCTCAGTATGGAACCTCAGGATGGCAGCTAAGCCACTTGGGCAAAGGTGTGGCATCTCTTAACAGGGGGATCCTCCAGTAGGGGCTGGTAGTTTTCAGCCTGCACTCTCCGGAGCTTTAGAGTTCACAGAGGTGTCTTGGGGGACCTCCTGGGGGATCAGTAGTGTGCAAGGTGAAGGGAAGGTGGAAAATGGGAAGGACACCAGGCCCTCCACCTCACTTCATCCAGAAGTCTTGGCTTCATGAGACTCAGACTCAGTCTGCTCGAGCTGATCGAGGAGACAGCATTATCCGGACAGAAAAGAAACAGGAGCCAGGTCCTTGGTGGGTGAGAAGAAATGGGACCCAGGGCCAAGCGAATAAAAGCCAGAGGCAAGAGGATGAGCACCTGCTGTCACTGTCTGCTGAGCACCGTAGACACATTGGTTTCAGCATTCTTGGTGTCCCGTGGGTGCTGTGCTTACCAACCTCCTTTTTGCACAAGCTATTTAGAGGGTAAGATCGTCTGTCCCAAGACGTGGGGCGCATGAGAGGCAGAGTGTGTTTGGACTCAGTTCTGTCTGGCTCCAGATCTCGGGCCCTGCTGCCTCAGCGTCCGGTCTGCTGCGGTTAGGGCTGGCTCAGGACTTGGGCGTGGCAGAGACTACAGTGGGGACAACTTCAGTGGCTATGGCTGAAGGGGCCCTGAGATGGCAGGGACGGACGAGGGCTCCAGGGCAGGCTCGCAGTTCGGAAAGCACAAGGTGTTTTCAAACAAAGGTCCCAGTGTTGAGGGGCTCTCCTCCTTCCGTGGATGAAGAGAGAAGACCCGTGAGACCTCTGGGTTTGGGAGGACAAAGGTCTCATTTGCCATCTCCCCTGAGGCTTGCCCTGGGAACTGGCAGGGCTCTACCACTCACACTCGTCTCTTGCACCTCCCCAGGGTTGTAGACGTGTCTGTGCCCAAACTCCACATCACTGGCACCCATGACCTGAAGAGGACTCTCTCCCACCTGGGCATCACCAGGATCTTCGAGGAGCACGGCGACCTCAGCAGGATCTCCCCTCACCGCAGCCTGAAAGTGGGCGAGGTAAGCCTGCCCCGCCCCCTCCAGCACGGGGAGCCCTCATAGCCCCGGGCAGAGCGGCTGTCACCGGGGCTGTAGAGCAAGGGTTCCAACCGCCAGGTGCAGCAGCCTGGGATCCAGCTCTGCCCCGGCCAGCCACGTGATCCCGGGCAAATCACATGACCTCCAAGCCTTGCGCTTCCCATCTTTAAAACTGGTGCTATTTTGGAAATCAATTCAATTCCCCAAACATTGATCAAGGCCTGGAACTTTTACCAGGCCTAGAACAGCTCTAGGTCTAGCTCAGACCTCCTCTCCAAGGCCTCCCAGACTTCTTAGGGGTAAGTGGTGAACACATTCTGCACAATGAAGAGACAGAGAGCACAGGGCCCATGGTCTCTGGCAAGGGTGGGCACCTGCCTTTTGGGACAAGAAAAGAGCACATATAGGCAGGGTCACCAATTTAGCAGATGCAATGTAAGATACCTAGTTGGGTTGGGATTTCAGATAAACAATGAATTATATTTTTTTAGTGTAAGTATGTCCCAAATATTGCATGGGACATACTTACGCTAAAACATATTCATTATTTCAAATTGAATTCAAATTTAACTGGACAGCCCGTATTTTACCTGGTAACCCTACTTTTGAGTTAAAAGAGCATCAAAAGGGGAAAAGATTTCAACAAGCAGAGATGGGTACGGGGAGGATCTTCCAGTTGGGGGAGTGAGTGGGAACGGTGTGGTGGAGGATGGGTGGTGGGGACTGGCGGGTGCAAGGGGCGCTGGGGGGGGTGGCAGTTCAAGCCAGTCTGGGAGGGATCCAGTCTGCCAAGCAGAGCCAGCTGCTCTGGATCCAAAGGCACAGACTCAGCTGTCCTTTCCAATTTGCAAGAGGGAAAGACCCAGCCAATAGAACTTTCTCATTTTTGAGTTTTTCTGCCACAGCCGTGCCCCAAATGCTCAATGCCAACTCCTCTTTCTGTGGGTCTTGAATGACTTGTTTCTTTCCCATAGGGAGGTGTGCTGATAGCTGTGCTCCTAACACAGGGCATTGGCCTGTTTTCTGCTAGTAAAATTGTCAGACTTTTGTAGACTAGAATGAAATGTGTGGATATTTCATAGAGGCCTGTCAAGTTCCTAGCATCCATCACCTGGTCATTGGTGCCACTGGGGTCTGAGCCACCTCAAACAGCTCATCCGGAATCTGGGTTCCTCTTAAGCACCCACCAGGGGTGCAAAAGGAGGTACAGGGGGCTTCAGGCAGAAATGTCCTCACCCCCCTTCTACCTAGCCACGGCTCGACAGACCCTTTCTGCCATGGTGACGGTGGATGCCTCCCCGTAATTCACAGGAAGGACAGCAGCCCCCCCCATTTCCCTCCCCTCCCCCATACCTGAGGTCCCCCCAAACCCCGCACCATCTTTTCTTTGCGCTGCCCGTCTAGCACCCTCCAGAGGTGATGGCGGAAGAGCCAGGAGCCCCGGGGCGCTGGCGCCAGCTGAGCTACTGCAGTGCTGGGCAGCTTAGGCCAAGTTGTCTCCCTCTCTGGGGCTCTCTGGGCCTCTGGCCCAGCAGTCTCTGAGCAGCAGGCAGGAACCGACCTTGCCCTTGTTCCCGCAGGCGGTGCACGAGGCTGAGCTGAAGATGGATGAGAAGGGTACGGAGGGGGCCGCGGGCTCCGGAGCACAGACGCTGCCCATGGAGACGCCAATGCCCGTCAAGATAAACCGCCCCTACATACTCGTAGTTCACGAGACGTTGACGCCTTCCATACTATTCTTGGGAAAGATTGTTAACCCTACTTCGAAATAAAGGGGGAATTCTTGCTTGCTGCAGACGCCAATTATGGCTCGGGGCTGAAAATGTTTCATCTCCCTGGGACGGAGGCCACATGCTCATTCTAATCTGATCCCAAGACCGCCTAACGAGAGCATCACCAGCTCGCAGGCTCCTCTGCGCCATCTCCTCCCTAAGCCCCCGCCCTGCCCATTCCACTGTCAAGATTAGGTGCCCCCACCCATTTGGTGTTCTCTCCCCTCCAGCACACAGGGCTTTTTTTGTGTGTGTGATTTAATAAACAAACACCCCTTCCCCCTCCCCGCTGCCCCAGGTCTGCTGCAGTGGGTAGATAATTTGGCAAAGGTGTGAGCCACAGCAAGTACCTGGGGTTTGGAGTGAAAGAGAAACCTGGGTTCAAATCCTAGAACAGGGTCTCCTTTGGGAAAGCCACATACCTTCTCAGAGCTACTGTTTCCTTATCTTTTAAGTGAGGATCATGCTCTTCCCTGTGGGTCTCTGAGGAAGCTGTTATGAGCATGCTTTAGGGAAGTTGGTCTCCCTTTGCCAGTCCTTGGCCTTGAGTCTCCGGCGTGTGAGCTACCCAGATATCTTCCCCAGAGTGTCTAGATAGGAGCTCCAGGCTCAGCCAGGCACCCAGACAGATGGCGAGGCAGAGGTGGGGCACAACAGGAAGATCCTGGGACTCTCCCGTCTTGTCGTCAAAGGCAGGCCCTGCTGTTTGAACCTCTTAGCAAGCTCAGCTGCACCTGCCCGGAAAACATGGCCCTGCAGGGTCTGCATGTAACCACTAGGGGACACCAGGTGTTCACGGGGCTGCTGAGGTTCCCAGCCTGGGCGGTCTCATTTCCGGCAGCTGTTGCCTTCTTCCTGCGGGTCCCATTGCCCTGGTGTTTGGGGAGGAGGGGATCCTGACTGGCTTGGCACTGAGAAGCCTGAGAGGGGAATCATCATTCCCTGGGCCTGCCTAGCAATTCGCTGCTCCTGGGGCCCTCTGCATTCTGGTCACAGCTGCCCTGAGGGCAGCCATGACAGGACATCTGCATGACAGATGTGGAAACTGAGGCTCAGAGAGGGGAAGTAACTTCCTTACGGCCTTCCTTCCTTCCTTATGGGTTAGCCACGGCGCCACTGGCTTCCGGTTTGGGGCAGGAGGGGAGGGGTCCGCACTGCCCTGGGGCGGGAGATGCACTGCTCAGCCTTTCCCCGAGCTTCAGTGAGTGAGCGCCTCCTCCTCCTCCTCTCTCTTTCTCCTCCTCCGCCCTCCTCCTCCATCCTGGGCAGGGCCCACAGGCTGGCAGGCAGACAGCCTGGGAGGGGCTGGGCTAGCAGACCGTGCTGAGTGCTAAGATTGGGGAGCCCAGGAGTATGTGTGCGCGGCTGCTGAGAAGGTGGGAGTAGGGGAGAAGGCTGGGGCCCCCACAGGGACACAGACGGGGCAAAAGGCCTTGAATCCAGCAAGCTCTTTGCTGACATCACCATGTCCCCTGCCCCAGCCCGAAGGGTGGGTGTGGGAAGGCATCAGATGGACACAGAAACCCTTAGGTACGTGACATTTGACCCTGGGACTTGGCACTGCCAGGTAAGACATTTAGGGACCCAGTGACCTGGGCACGTCTCTTAACGCTTCAGAGTCTCAGCCTCCTCACTGTTGAAAGAGGGTGATAATATCTACCTCCAGGGCTGAGGAGCTCTGGCTGCGTAGACTGTGCCTGGCACGTAGGCACACAGGAAAGGGCGGTGGCAACCTTCCGCCACCCTCACTCAAGCCCCTGAGATGACCAGAGGTTTTCCAAAAATCCACCCTCCAGGCAACTGCCTCTGCCATCCCCTCTAATGAGAATTCCCTCCTCCTGCCTAAGGAACTCCCATGCACCCCTTAACACTCAGGCCATTTTGACCTCTTTATGAACTTGACTTTTTCCCCCAGCATCTTGTAAGCCAGTGGGCCCTAACCTTTTTGGTACCAGGGACCATTTTCATGGAAGACAATTTTTCCATGGACCGGGGAGAGAGGAGAGGTGGTTTCTGGATGATTTAAGCACACTACATTAATTGTGCACTTCTTTCCATTATTATTACATTGTAATATATAATGAAATGGTTATACACCTCACCATAGGCTGGGGGCCCCTGTTCTCAGCAGCCCTCCAAGACAGCGTTCATCTCCATACCTGATGATGGCTGGTGGATCCTGAAGCTCCTTCCACCCTCATGTGGGCTGCAGTCCATCCTGCGCTGAGCAAAGACTCGCAGGCTGCCATCTCTGGGCTAGTTGTTAATGTGAATAGACCTGCTCCTGCCTAATGGGGTTAACACTCAGTGGGAACGGCAGCCATGAGTCGACTAAACACGCATGTAGGTTTCTCCCAAGCTGCAGTGAGCTCCTGGGTGCTGGGAAAGTGTGTACTGGGAGGGTCTGACCCAGTCAGGGGCCAGGGGAGGTGTCCCCAGGGGCGTGCCATTTGGGGAGAGCTCCGAATGCTGGCAAATTCATCTGCTTTTAAACTGTTGCTATTAAATAAAACTTCATACATGTGTGTGATTTCTAGTGTAGTTAGTAACATATAAAATACTGGTTGGTATTTCCAAGTATGCCCATTATAGTTGGGCATAAACTCTAGTGCTTTCTTCATCTTCCTTTTAACTAGCTCTATTTTTTAAAATGACTATTGCACATCTTAACTATGTATCATTGTGATTTCCAACGTTCACAGCTGTATTTTTATTCTTCACTACAGAAACAAATTCTACTTTGAAAAAGAAAGAAGTCAAGGTGGGAGCAGAAGGAAGGACAGGCGCAGAGGCCCCGAGGAGGGCAGGTGGCATGGAGGACAGGGGCGGTGGGGCTGGAGAGGCAGGTGGGGCTTTGCGGGCTACACAGGGGGCGCTGGTGTTTAACTGAAGAACTATGGTGGCCGTCACATGTATTTAACTGAGAGTAACTCAGGCAAACTCATGTGTTGTGAGCGTCCTTCTGGCTGCAGGCTGGGTGTCCTTGTGTCCCTGTGCCCAGGCTGGTGCATGGCACAGGGCACGTGCTCAGCATAGTGTTGCTGGAAAGACAGACTGCCACGCTGTCACCCTTGTCCAGACACAGCCAGCACGCTCCAAAGCTCCCTCTTCTCTGGAAGGGAGGTTTCCGGCCTTAGCCTGGCAGGCCTACCTGCCAGGAGGTGGCCGTGCCTGCTCTGCCTGTGGGTCTGCACTGCCACCTCCCTGCTCTGCCCATGTGTCCCACCCTGCCGGAAAGCCGTCCCTGCTGCCCATTCTGTCCCACTCCCACCACTTCCTTTCGGTGGTTACTCAGCCTTCCGGGAAAGATCGACTCCCACGATCTTCTCAGAATCCTTCACGTGTTTGTGGACTGACCAACCTCATGAATGAGTGAGTGAGTGAATGCATGAATGGGTTTTGACTTTGATGGAACCAACCCTTCCCGGAGGCCTATCAGAGCCTAGCGCTGCACAAGGGCTCTCACCGCCCCACTGACCCACAGCCCTCCAGGTTGGTGTGACTGTCCCATTCTACAGGTGAGCCCACTGAGGCTGGAGAAGCCCACACAACTTGCCCAAAGCCCCACAGCCAGACGGCCATGGCGCAAGGACCAAATGCCAGTCCCCTGAGCCTTTTCACCTTTCAGTTGTCCCAGCCATCTATCCAGCCATGCATTCAACAGCTGTTTCCTTAGTGTCCCCTCTGTGCCGGGGACTGTCCTCAGGACTTGAGGTACATCAGCCAACAAAATGTGAGAAGATCCCGCCCTGTGCAGACCTCAGGCTGGTAAAGAGAGTCAGACAACAAACAACAGGCGGATAAAATAAATCACAACATTAAGGGGCGCCAGTAAGGGTGACGAGAGGTGGTGCTGGCAGGCGGCAAGGTTGGCCTTCCCGAGAAGGCGGCTCTCATCGTCGAGATGACAGATTCTATGAGTCTGTTCTCCGTGGCCTCTGCTGCACAGATGCCCCCGGAGAGTCACAGCCGGGAGACACCCATGCATGGGGGGGCTGGTGATAGGAGAGGGTGGAAGTCCAGGGCAGAAAGACCCCTCTGACGTGATCCAGCCTGACCTTCCACCTGTGCAGAAAGCGTGTGTCCGGCTCTGGGCAGGGGTCTCTCCTGCCGCTCCCAGCGCGGGCAGGGTGCCAGGAGCCCGCTTTCCTGGCCTGCCCCACTCAGCCCACAGCATCGCCTGCCCAGGCTGAGGTCATTCACAAGGGCACACAGCAGAAGTGACAGGATAACCACAGGTGGGAAGTGCCAGTCCCCAGCCCTGCTGCCCCCAGACACTGACTATGTGGCCTGGGCAGATACCTTCTTCCTCTCGGGCTTCTGCTCTTCGTGTGTGCAATTGACGGGGTTTCCCTGGATTTACCCCAGAATACCCTTCTATCTCAGACAGCACTCTGGCACTCGTATGGCAAAGGAAAGAACTGGCTCTGAAGTTTCACACGCGGTCATTCTTCCCTGCATCCGTTTATTCAACAAATCTCTGTTGAGCCTCCACTATGTGCCAGGCAGTGTGCCAGGGACGGAGAAGCCAGGTGAACGGGACAGACAGGGACCCCATCCAGGCACAGTTTAGGGGTGCACGGCCTGCTTGCGCTACATCTCCCCGTGTCCTGTTCAGGCCAGGCCGGGAGAGCGTCCCCTGCCCTGCTGGGTCACCCCATCGGGGACCAGGTTCTGCACCGAGGGTGCAAAGCCACGGCACCCTTTCTCTCTGGGAAACCTGCTTTCCTTGAGTCTTCAGTTTCTCGAGTTTTATGTATTCCTGGACCACTTTTGCGAATATGGCTGAACTCTCATCTATTTTGTACTACTATGACTTTATGTCAGTTCACGTTTTAAACAAAGACATATGTGTCTAAAAGAAAAACTAATACCACGTCATACATAGAAACCAGCATATCATACGTAGAAACCAGTATAACTTGCCACACGTGGAAAGTAAACAGACACACCACAAAACCAATTCGGGGGTTAAGTTCCACCAAGACTGTCGCCTACCCACAGGCTCCCGGCCTGAAGCTCTCCTTTGTCACAGAGGAAGGTCGGCAAGTCCACGAGGGTGGCAAAGACGTGCTGGCACCAAGCTGAGACTCTCTCCTCGAAGAGTTTAGAGAGAGCGAAAGAAAACTGGAAGAGGGAGGACTTTGACACTAGACGGTCCCACGTCGTGGGCAGAAACCACCAGACATTGTTTAGTCTGTGAGCTCAGAGAAGTCACCACCCCTGAGCCCTGGAGTCTCAGGCCAAGGTTGGAATGTTTTCTGACTTACGTGCTTAACTGATTGGCCTTCCTTCCTTCCTTTCTTTTTGTTTTTAATAGACTTTTTAATTTGGGGGAATAATTTCAGCTTTACAGAAAAGTTATGAAGACAGTACACAGAGCTTCCATATATTTTTCAACAGCTTCCCCTAATGCTAATGTTTCCATGACTACGGAGCATTTGTCACAACTAGGAACCAATATTGGTTCATTACTATTCACTAAACTATAGACTTTATTTAGATTTTACCAGTTTTTTTCATCAATATCCTTTTTCTGTTCCAGGATCCAATCCAGGACACACTTTGCATTCAGTGGCCTTACATTTTAAGGACGTTGGCAGGGGCTTCAAGTGGCTGAAGGTTGGTAGGAGGCCCCGGCATCAGACAGGCTGAGATCAAATTCAAAGTTGTGCCATTTATTTGGTTGGTGACATTAGGCAAGTCACTTAACTGTCCCAATCCTTAGTTTTGCCTATCTGTGAGGTGAGAATCACAATAGTGACCTCCCAGGGTCTTGGGTGGGGGAATTAAATGATTTAACACACACAAACCTACTTAGCACCACCAAGCCCCATCCATCTCGGTGTCGGCTTTTAAAGACAGTCTCCTGGGTGGGCTTCCATGAATGCTGCTTGTCCTTCCTACACAAATAACTTCTTGGTTGTCGTTTCCTTCGCCATGATGTGAACAGAGGAATCACAGATTCCCAGACGGGGCTGGGAAAGGGGCCCTCCAGGATGAAGATCTTTCCTGGGGCAGGGATCCCACGTGTCCCATGAAGTTGAAATTTTGACCTCTTGCCAAACACAAAACAAAACAAAGCAAATTAACAGACAGACAAAACTCCTCCATGCCTGGGGCCCCGTCTGGGTCTGTCCCCCTGCCTCAGCTCCACCCTCAGTTTGACTCAGACTCCTAGAAGTCAGGTGGCCACACTGGGCAGGCTAAGAAATGAACCATGTTGCAGCGAAAGAGGTTGCAGGGAGCTCCGAGGAGAACTTCCCCCATGCGACAGGTGCACAGCGGGGACTGGGGGTCCCAGGTGGGGAGGCTCATTCACAATCCACAGAGTAGCTTCAGGTGAAGATGGCACTACAAAAAAAGCCAGGAGACACCCAATCTCCTCCACTGTTAAGAGGAAAAACTAGGGGAGATATTAAAATAAGTATTAAAATAGGAAATTATAAAGATGTAGTTAGATATAAAAAGTGATATGAATATTTCCATAAAACCAGAAGTGGGGCAGAAGCATAGGGTATGGGAAGTAGGAGAGCTCCCGAAGCCAGGAAAGAAGAGTCTAGAGAGGACTGGACATAGCAGGAGAGGCACCCTGGAGGAGGAGAGCTTGGGATAAGGCTCCATCTCCATGGGACCAAGGATGTGCCCGTGAGGTCTGCTCCTATTGTGCTGCTCCTTCAGCGGGTCTGGTTTCATGAATTTGGAGAGAAATAGGCTTTTGCTTTCCAGGTGGCCCTGAGGCTCCAGGAACTGAGAAGCCCAGAGCTGGAGGCAATCTTGAAGAACTCTCTGGGGCAAGGACAGAGGTTGGAGTGAAGGGTTGAAGGAGGAAGCACCCACCTCTCCTCACTCTCAAGTCTTCTCATCTTTCCCTGGAAAATCTGATTCGGTAGTTCTTCATGGGGCCTGGGGATTGGCATTTTAATGAAAACCCAATTAACTAAGCTTGAGCAATCTCGTACTCTTTCTGGCTGCCTCCCTGTTTCGCCAGCTACGAGCCTTTATAAAAGTCCCTGGGTGTGGGTGCATGAATGCAGGGCCTGGCCCTCCGGCTTCCCAACAGTCCTCCCACTGGCCTCCCATACCCTCCTCCCTCCTCATATTCCTCTTTTTTCTTCTGCCTCTCTCCCCGTCACTTGCTGATCATAGCCCTTGCCCTGGAGGAAGCCACAGAGTGTCCAGACTGTCCAATCAGGGAGGCAGACACATCAGAAGATAATTTGCTGTAGTTTGCTTCAGGTGTTTGTAAAGGGAGGGGCAGAATTTCTGTGGGATCCAGAGAAGACTGTGGAGTGGGTGATCTTGAGCTGGCACTGGCAGGATGGAAGGAGTGAGTCAGGTGAAGAGAGTGGGGAGCACAGTGCAGGCTCTCTGAGGATCACGTGTGATCATACGGAACAGGGAAAGAAATGACAGGGCAGCCCTCAGTTCATTTTATTTTATTAATAATTAATAAAGTCTCTGTTCTCTACTCTTCCTGGGATTCCAATTACACATATGTTAGACCATTGATATTGTCTCACAAGTCACTGGGACTCTGCTTCTTGTTTGTTTATTTGTTTATATTTCCAGCTTGCTCTCTTCAGTTTGGATAGTTCCTGTTGATATGTTTTCAAGATCACTGATCTTTTCTTCTACAGTATCAAATTTGCTCTTAGATCTAGCCAGTGAGTTTTTTTTTTTTTTTTAATTTCAGATCATGAATTTTTATCTTTAGGGTTTCATTTTATTCTTTTTAGGATTTTATTTTTATCGCATTATAGTAATATTTTTCTTATTTAAGCATATTTTAAAGTAGCTATTTTAAAGCCCTAGTCTGCTAATTCTTTGCTGTCTATTATATCTGGGGCTGTTTCTATTCCCTAATTTTTCTTCTGGGCCTGGCTCACATTTTCCTATTCTTAGAATGTCTAGCAGTTTTTGATTGGATGCTGGACATTGTAACATTACAATTTTATTGTCTGGATTTTATTGTCTTCCTTTATAGTGTTAACATTTGTTTTAATAGGGAACTGAGTTACTTGCAGGTCTGCTTGACCTTGTTCAGGCATGTTTTCAAGCTTTGTTAGAGTGAGTGTAGTGTAGCTTTAAATCAAAGTTAGTTTAGGCTTAACGCCAAGACGTGACACTTCTGGGTGTCTACTGAGTGCCCCAGGTCTCTCAACTCCAGATGGTCATAACCTGAATATCCCCACACTTTATGAACTTTAAGAATTGTTCTGCTTACATCTTCACAGTAGTTTTTTGTGTGGTGTGTGTGTGTGTGTGTGTGTGTATGTTTCAATTAACCATATGGAATTTATGTATGCAGAGCTTATCACTTAGCTTTGGACTTAAGGAGACCCTATGCACATTTATGAAGATCTCCTCTCTAGCACTTTGCTGCACAAATTGTATCTTCCTCATTTTCTTAAACTCTGATGTCTGTCTCCTAAGCTCAGTGAGACTACCATGCTCTCCTTGGGCTTCCCTCCTTTTGCCCAGAAAGTGCCTTTAGGCAGAAAATCGGGGTATCATAGGGCTTACTTCATTTGTTTCCCTTCTCTGCCTGTTGTCCAATGTCTAAATTATTTTCTATATTTTCCATTATCTCAATTGTTTCATATATTTTGTTCAGTTTTCTGTTTACAACTGTTTACCAGTCCAATATCAGTTACTTTGTCTAGGCCGAAAGTGTAAGTCAACTCAACCTTTACATATGTATATACCTCTGTAACTTCACCTTAAGAAGGTACAGAACTTTTCATAACCCTGAGAGTCCCTCTAGCTCAGTTCCAGTCTGTCTTATCCCTCGGAGGTAAACTGATCATTTAATTTTATCTCCATTCATTCATTTAGCAAACACTTACTGAGCCTTTCATATTGGCCAAACAGTAAGTATACAGAGAGAACAAGATGGACAATATCCCTTATTCGTGAACTGTTCAGTCATATGAACAAATGTGACACGATGGCAATCATAAGAGTTTCACTAAGAAGCTAATGGCTGGTGCTATAAAAACATTTAATAGGAGGAATTTTCCTTATCTGAGTAGTCAAAGACCATTTCCTTGAGGAACTGACATGAGCTAAGACCTAAACAATGAGTAGGAATTAATTAAGGGAAAAGTTGGGTGAAAGGAGTGGGAAGAACATTCCAGGATTAGAGAACAATGAATATCACACGTGAGCATCAAAAAAATGGGCGGAATGGCCTGATACAGAAGTCAACAGCGAGGAGTTCTGTGATGTGACGTGTGATGAAATTAGACGGGTCGGCATGTGAGCTGAAGTAGAGATTTCAGTGTTACTTTGGGGACAGTGGGAGGCTGTCTGGGACATTTTAAAATAGGTAAGTGACATGGTCAGGTTTGAGTTTTAAAAGACGGTTCTAGCCGCCACGTGTAGAGTGAGTTGGAGGAGCAGGACGGGTTGTGCAGCGAGACCTGTTAGGGGCTTTCCGCAGTCTTCCAGGCAAGAGGCCATGGCAGCACTACTAGCCTGCCAGAGGTGGAGGCAGAGAAAAGTGGACGGACTTGAGGAATATTTAGGAGGTAAAATTGACAAGACTGGCTGGTGATGGGTTGACATGGGGAAATGAAGAAGAAGGAAGTGCAAGGATGACTCCTAGGCTTGAGTAACTAGGTGAGTGGTGGCACCAGTGGTTGTGATGTTGACAAGGGTTTCAGTTGTGACCGTTGCTGGGAGATGGTGCTTGGGAAAGAGTCTGAGTCCAGTTTGGGTCACGCTGTGCTTACGGTCCCTTTGCGACATCAGGAGGAGATGAAGAGTAGGCAGTTGGATCTATGTGGTTCGGGGGACAGGACCAAGCTGGAGGTCAGAAACAATACATCATTTGCTTTTAGTAATAAAGCCGTGGGTGTCATGGCATGACATCATCGGGAGGGAGAGGAGAGGAGAGATTAAAGTGAGGAGGGAGCTACAACCAGGTGACTGAGTGCCAAGGCTCGACAACGTGGAGGACCAGAAAGGAGACGAGGAGCACAGGGTGGGTAAGGAGGAAGCGCAGAGAGGCGTGAAAAGTCCAGGCGAACGTGGCGGCACGGAGCCGAAGGGGAGGACTGGATCGGAAGCTGAGTGTGGTCTTCAGTGCTGGGTGCTACTGGCAGTCGAGGAAGATGACATCCTAGACGTGTTCATTGGCTTGTAGCAACATCTGGGTCAGGTTTCTGCAGACACGGGAGCCAGACCGGAGGGGGACAGGGAGGGACTGGGATGGATGTCTTTTGGGGGAGGTTGAGGCAACTCCTTTTCTAAAGGTCTCTCTTTTATGTGAGGTAGGAGGACACAGAGGCCATGGACACACAGCTCTTGAGGATCTGGACCACAGTGGGAGGAAGATGGAGATAGGGCAGCGGCCAGAGTGAATGAGAAGGGGAAGGAGGGACTTTGTTGTTGTGTTGGGGGGGGTGATCTGCTTGTCTCAATGGGCAAGACTTGAACGTGTGTAAGAGTCAGTGATAAGCATATGGTTCAGAGGGAGTGTTTAAGCGCAGAAGAGAGAGGTGGAGGGAACTGAGATGGAGAGAAGAGATGCTTCCCAAAGTTCAGGGAGGAGGACTAGTCTTGGAAGGAGGGGGGCTCCTCTGCTGTGCTGATAGAGTGGGGGAGGGGGAGGGGTAGGGGTGCCCGGCAAATTAGGGACACACAGAGAGGATGTCTTCTGGAGGAGGTTGAGGCGATTTTTTTTTCTGAAGGTCTCTCTTTTATGTGAGGTAGGAGGCACAGTTGTGTGCTGAGAGTGAGGGTGTGTGTGCGTGTGCATATGTGTATTCGTGTGTATGCGAACATCCATGTGGGCAGACGTGCATATGTGGTGGGGTGGGCATCCATTTTGACATGGAAGAGGTTGACAAGCTCCCCGCAGTCATTGGGAGGGTGACTCCATCAGTTACACGCTGCAAGGCAGGCGAAGGGTGGCCGGGAACGCAGTGGGTCAGACTGCCGCGCCAGGCAGGAGCTCACAGACAGGTGGGTTCTGTGGGTTTGGAGCCTGGCCAGAAGGCTGTGTCACAAAGACAGGGGCCGCATGGGTGGAGGGGATTGGCATGGAATGAAGCCCTTTGACACCCAAGCTGGGTAGAGAGGCAAGTGAAGACGGGGCCGGGGGTGCACGGGGTGGGGGTAAGAGCGGGACAGTGGGGTGCTTGGGGATAAAGCTGGGGGGTAAGTCGCACAGTAGGAAGGACCTTGAATGCCAAGAGCCGGGGCATTTCTCCTGAGCTCCGTGGGGAGCCGTTGAGGAGCTCCAGATCTGCATCTAGGAAGCTCCCCGTCTGTGGGCGGGTGAGCACCTGTGGCCGGGTCGGGGCGGAGTGGAAGGTGGAATGCAGCCATGCCGCCAGCGGCTGGGAGGGAGGGCCCAGGTGGGGCTGGCTGAGGGGGAGCCCAGTGTCCCTGTCACCCCAACCAGTGCAGCCCACTGGCTGGTTACAGGCACAACCCTAGGACATAGCAAAGAGAGGGTCAAGGGCCCCAGCAGGGCTGGGAGAGGGAAGGGGTGACCACAGGAAGACAGGAGCTTGGGTGGGGAGAGGCTGGGAGGGGAAGGCGTTGGACTTTAAGAACCAATTGAATGAGCCTCAGCCGGGCTTTTTCTCCTGGGGTGTAAGGACCTGGCCCCTGAGGCCCACGGAGCCCCAGACCCTGGAGGGAAGGGCCTTTTGAGATCACCTCCACCTGTCCTGCGAGAAGCAGTGACTCGCCTGAGATGATGCGGAGGCCAGGGCCACTGAGGAGCCAGGATACTTACGAGCCGCCTCCCTGAGTTCAGGGTCTCCCCTAGTCAGCCCAGGCCCGAGAGGAGCAGGATCTGGGGCACGGAGTCGGATGCCTGTGTTGGGCCCTGTCTGCCGACGGGGGGGGGGAGTGATTCTCTGGGAGGCACAGCCAGCTGTCAGGAGGTGCCCCTGAGAGCTGCCCCCACCCCCAGCCAAAGCTCCCCAGACAGGCTGTCCTGCTGACCCTCACTGTGTCGCCATGGCCTGGGGTGCTTAGGTCTCTGCTTCAGGGACTACAACCTCAGCTCCCCTCCCTCAACGCTCTTACTTCTCTTGCAGACTTACTTTGACCCAAAATGGCATCTTCCTTGTATGGGGCTCTCTTCCTTGTTGGCCTCTGTGCTCCAATCTACTGTGCGCCCCCAGCCAAGGTCGCCAGCGGAGGACCCCCCCACCCTTCCTCCATAAAGCGCAGCCTCAGCTCCCAGGTGTCTTCCCCCAACGCTGACTTTGCCTTCCGCCTGTACCGGAGGCTGGTTTTGGAGGCCCCGGGTCGGAACATCTTCTTCTCCCCCATGAGTGTCTCCGCTTCCCTGGCCATGCTCTCCCTTGGGGCCCGCTCAGCCACCAAGGCCCAGATCCTGCAGGGCCTGGGCTTCAACCTCACGTGCACGCCGGAGCCCGCCATCCACCGCGGCTTCCAGAACCTGGTCCGCTCGCTCACTGTCCCCGGCAAAGGCCTGAGCTTGCAGATGGGCAGTGTCCTCTTCGTCAAGAGGGAGCTGCAGCTGCAGCCAAGTTTCCTAGACGACGTCAACAGGCTGTACGAGGCGAAAGTCTTTTCTACAGATTTCTCCAACACCGCCACTGCCCAGGCGAGGATCAACAGCTACGTGGAGAAGGAGACCAGAGGGAAGGTCGTGGACTTAATCCAAAGCCTTGACCCTCTGACAGCCATGGTGCTGGTCAACCACATTTTCTTTAAAGGTACGGATCCCAGAGGTTGATTTTGTTTTCTTTTGTTTTGTTCGCAAGGTAGACAAACCCTAGAGAGCAGGGTGGAGCAACCGCAGGGCCTGAGTTCTAATTAGCTTTGCAACTGGCTGTCTGCGGGACCTTGGCCATCTCAAGTTTATTAACTTGAATGAGCGGGGGCTCATTCAGCTCCGCCTTTGGATAGACTGATTAGGTGTCTTGAGAAGCTGACATTGGACTCAGTGGGCGGCCCATAGGAAAAGTCTTCTGGAAACTAGCTTGTCAGAAAGGATCTCATCTCTTGCCACCAGCAGCTGCCCCACTGTCCCCTGAAGGTTTTAGAAGAGGGACACAGAGCTCTCTGGAAGACAGCCCAGTTTAAAAAGCAAGTCCAAAGGCGGGAACACTTTCATAGGGGTGGAAATGTTGACCGGCCCAGTGTGTCATTCACATCCCCCATACAGGGGCCTAGAGCTTTACAGTTTGCAGCGTGCTGTCGTAGAATGCACATCAGCTCAGAAGTCGGACAGCCTGGGTTTGAGTTTCATCTTTGCCTCTTATTTGCACTATAACCGTTAGCATGTTGCTTACAAGATCTACCCCTTATCAAGTGCCTGATTTGTACTCTGTGTCTGTGCTGAGCGCATGGGTGGATGATAAAGCCAACTTCGCAGGGCTGTGCTGAGGTGGAGGAGCCCAGCCTCTCCAGGCAGTTATCACAGACGCTGCTATCTCATCCCTCCCTCCTCCCCCACTGCCCTTCCTTTCTGCCCTCCTCCATCTCTATTTCCGCCCATTTATCCATCCACCAGTTCATCCATCCATGCACCCATCCACCCTCCATCCACCCATTCACCAAGCTATCCTCCCATTTACCCATCCATCCTGCAAAGAAGGAAGAAAAGGAAAAAAAAAAACAGTATGCTTTGAGCTCTTACTAACAGCACTTGTATGTGCTGTTTATTTAACCTAATTCTATTTAATTGAAATATAACTCACATACCATAAAATTCACCATCTTAAAAGTATACAGTTCCATAGTTTTTGTTTTTAGTATATTCACAAAATTATGCAACTACCTACTCCTTCTGTGTAATTCTAGAGCATGTTCATCACCTCAAAAAGAAGCCCTGTACCCATTAGCAGTCACTTGCCATTCTGCTGTTCTATCTTTGCCTCACCAGTTGCACTGTCTCCTCTCTTTGTGCTAGCCAAGTGGGAGAAGCCCTTTAACCCTGCGGATACGAAGAAGAGCTTTCCATTCCTGGTGGGCAAGGGAGCCACAGTGCACGTCCCCATGATGCACCAGATGGAGGAGTTGGCTTTTGGGGTGGATCCAGAGCTGAACTGCTTTGTGCTGCAGATGAACTACAGGGGAGACGCCGTGGCCTTCTTTGTGCTCCCCAGCAAGGGCAAGATGAGGCAGCTGGAACAGGCCTTGTCAGCCAGGACGCTGAGAAAGTGGAGCCACTTACTGCAGAAGAGGTGGGCATCTGTGTCAATGCGTTGAGACCTTAGGCAGGGGGTGGTGTACATCCAAGGATTGGGGGAAAGACTACGCTACCAAGCTGCTGAATAATCATCAATCCTGCAAATTGAGCACCAACTGCATGTAGGATAGTGAACCTGGTGCTGTGTATACATGTTTTCACTTGAACTTCACTACCGCCTGATGGAGGAGAAATGGTATTACCACCCATTTCACAGATAAGGAAGCAGAGGCTCTAAGAGGCTAGCCCAAGGTCACGTAGCTATTATATCACTGCAGAGCTATATTGTCATGGTAGGTATTATGTGCAACCAGGGCTTGCTCTAGAAGCCAGTCTGATATTGAATTTCATGGAATGATCCTGGAAAAGCAAACAAATTAAAAAAGCATTGGCACTCACCCATAAAATGAGGATAGTAAAATTACCGAATTCATAGGTTGTTGAAAAGATAAAATAAGTCGCTATTTACAAAGTGCCCTGGAAGACAGTAAGTGCTCGGTAAGTGTTAGCTAACAGTTTTTTAATATTATTATTGGTTCTGTAATTGTCATGGAGAGTATTGAAAGAATATGGAGACTATACAGAGGATTAACTGTAAAATTAAAAGGAATGTCAACGATTGATGTTCAGTCTCTTAGCAATATTTTCTTGGCATCAGTGGCAACATTTCCAGCTGCTCGATCTAGGAGGAAAGAAAAGACAGGATGAAGGGTGAGTGTCATTCAAGAAAGACCATGGTCAGTGCCCCCCGGGGCTTGGAGGGCAACGTGCAGAGCAGCTTCTGGGCAGAGACAGATCACTGTCAGCTGGGAGTGGAGGACAGCTTCACCAAGGTGGTGGCATTTAGCCACAAGCAAGGCTACGACATGAACACATGGAGGCTTGGGAAGGGCAGTTTTGGGAGAGGAAGCAGCCCAAGCAAAGGGAGTAGAGTGGAAGGCCAAGAGATGCTGTAGGATGTTCAGAGGTTTCTTAGACTGCACCAAGGCTGGGTAGAGGACGAGGAGGTGGCAGAAAGGCTGGGGAGGGAGGGACAGGGCACAGGGCAGCAGATGGAACAGAGGGGGATGGAGATGCCAAGGCAAGCACAGGGGACAGTGACGGGGAGGAGATAGCTGTCCACGATGCCAGGTGTCACAAGACACCAGTCAGATGAGGGCTGAAAGGTGTCCATCTCACATTTTCCTGCTTTCATTTCTGAGAGTTGCTAAGTACACGACCTCCGGCAAAGCACTAAAACCAAGCTTCACCATCTTCACAACGGGGGAGACATTACTGAATGTGCCTGGGACAATGTCTGGCATGTAGTAAGTGCTCAGTAAATGCCAGCTCTTCACTCTTATTTCGGGAAAAGCATTGCAGAGGAAGAAAACATTGTGCCAAACTCTAGGATTGAGCTGTCCGCTAACAGTATCCACTAGCCACATGTGGTTATTTACATTTCAATTCACTAGAATCTGGTAACATTAAAAAATTAGCTCCTTGTTTGCACCTGCCACATTTCACATTGTTCAAGAGCCACATGTGGCCAGTGGCTACCATATTGGAAAGTGCAAATATAAAATCTTCCCAACATCACAGAAAGTTCTACTGGACTTTGCTGCGTGGGGCGAGCAGGGTTGGCGTCAGGAAGGGCTGGTGGAGAGGCACGGTGGGCAGGGCAGCACCATCGCTGTTTGATGTTTCCCACTGGTTTCTCCTTCCCTGGGCCACCCTCTCGCCTCTGCACGCTACTTCATCGGGGCCCTGTTGTCTTCTTGCATGTATTTGGTGCTGGACCTGCTGAGCTGGGAGGCCTACTGCCAGGGCACCCTGAGTTGTTTGGTTGGGACGTGTTGACTTTTTTAGCAGCAACCAACAAATACCTGGAGGAAGAGTCAAGTCTCCTAACATGCCATCTAGAAGCAGAGATGGAGACACCATGGGCTCGTGACCTTACCTCTTCCTTTTCCCTTCTCCACAGGTGGATAGAGGTGTCCATCCCCAAATTTTCCATATCTGCCTCCTATGATCTAGAAACCATCCTCCCGAAGATGGGCTTCTGCAATGCCTTTGACAAAAGTGCTGACTTTTCTGGAATTGCAAAGAGAGACTCCCTGCAGGTTTCTAAAGTGAGTTGATTGAGAAGAATATTTGCAAGGAAGTCTGAGCTGGAGATGTCGGCAGAGATTGGCGAATGGAGCACTCTCATTTCTCTGATAAGGAACTGGGCCTGAGAGGTGAAATGATTTCTCCGTGGCCAAAGGGCAGAGTATTGTGACTTCCAGGCCTGTGGCTTCACGGCCATCATACCCTGAGAGAGAGAGAGAGAGAAAGAGAGAGAGAGAAGAGAGAGAGAAAGAGAGAGAGAGAAGAGAGAGAGAAAGAGAGAGAGAGAGAGAGAGAGAGAAGAGAGAGAGAGAAGAGAGAGATGACTTTTCAAACTTAGTATATTGGATCTAAAAGTCTAGATTTCTGATCCTCTTGAAACAAATCACTGAGCGCAATTCCCACATGGGCAACAGTGAGCCCAAACCCCTCCACGGCAGTGATTAGTGATTGCCGGGGCTGAGCCTGAGCACCCCTTTCAGCCAGACTGTACCTGTCCCCCCAGGTTACCAGGACACCATGCTCTCATAGGAGGTCCCTCAGCTCACTGGGGTTACCTGCCTAGCCCCTGCCCACACGTGAGTTTCTGATCCCTGACCTAAAGTTTTGTTCTGCCGATGGGTTATAATGGTCAGAAGTGGTCTCAGGACCACAGAAGGGGATCCTGTCATTGGTGTTCAGGGAACGCAGGAAAGTCCCACTGGAATATGATGAGCGTGACAGGCCTTTTCTCAAGGAAAATGGTTCTGTGTACCTCTGAAAAACCATGCCTGTGATCGCAGGCTGCACACTGCCTCCCTGGAGCTTAGCGGCATGGGAACCCCAGGTTAAGAATCTCTCCTCTAGAAGACAAAGAAGGGATCCGACCTTTAGCAATACCAAAGCCATGTGTGCTGTGCAAGAACTGTAGCAATTTATACTACTAGCAGGTACATGAGCACTTGCTTTGAATCATCTCCTTCAATTTACCCAATAACCTTGTGGGACACATGCAATTATTAGCGTCTTTTATAGATCTGAAAACTGAAGCACTCAGCTTCTACGTAACTTCTGCAACAATAAGTGACAGAACTGAGCCTCAAATCTAGATCTTCCCGGTGTGTATTTGTAACCATTCAACTCCAAGCGTAGAGGTCAATGGACCGGTAGCAAATACCAGTTGCAACGTATTGAGCAAAGCTAATGCCAGACATTGGGCGTAGCTGACCTTGAAGCCTCTCAAGGCAGACGCCCCCATGCCCAGGCTCAAACAGCAAAGCTCGTTTAAGTAGAGGGGTCTCCATGGGAGCCACTGATGTCTCCTTTTCCCTTGGCAGGCCACCCACAAGGCTGTGCTGGATGTCAGCGAAGAGGGTACTGAGGCCGTAGCAGCTAGTGCCACCAAGCTCGTAGTCCGGTCGAAGGATGGCCCCTCTCACCACACCGTCTCTTTCAATAGGACCTTCCTGATGGTGATTATGAATGAAGCCACAGAGAGTATTCTCTTTCTAGGGAAAGTTGAAAACCCTACTAAGTCCTAGGTGGCAAATGGCCTGTTGACTGACTGCACATTGCTAACACACAGGGAATAGCACACCACGGGCCTCTCCTTATTCTGAGGGTCCTCCTGACTCCAGCAGAGTTGGAAGGTTCAACATGGAACCGTCAGCAGAGACCCCAGTCACAAGCCAAGGCCCATTAACGCCAGTCGGTGCCCCTTTCCTCAAACTCTCCCAGGTCTCTGGCTTCATGGAATATTGCTGGGCTCGCGTATTGCCATTCCTTGAAACTCCTGGGACTGTTAACATATAGGTCAGGTACCTTTCTTGCAGAATTACAGCAATAAAGTCAATAAAACTACAATGTGAATTCAGCTAGCAACAGGGCTCCCACGTACCTACAGGGTCTTAATCCGAACATGATTTATTGGCAAACTCAAAGTGGCTGGGTTGTCACCCAGTGACATTTCAGCGGCTGCATGAATTTGTTCAATGAAAACTTATTGAGCACCTAATATGTGCGGGGAGTGAATTAAGTGGACATGATCCCTGGCCTGTTGGGGCTAACTGGGGACACGGACCACCCAGCAACAACAATAAACCAAACTTTCAAATCCACGTGGTTGTGACAGATTGGGATAAGTGCCAGGGGAGCACCTGGTGAGACGGTTGAAAGAGAGAGAGGAAGGGGGAAAGCGAGGCTTTCATGGGTGTGGAGCCGTGAGTCAGGCATGAGCGGGTGTGTTGGAGGGACAGAGGGAGGCCCTTGTGGCTGGAGCTTCGCCGTCACAGATGGAAGAAAAGAGGTGGAAACAAGGACACGGGTACAGGGAGCTCAGGTGGGGTGGGGCATTCTTGGCCAAGGAGGGCAGTCTGAGTTTGGCGGGGAGCACCAGAAAACCCATTGACAACTGCTGACATATGGGCCGCGACAGTCTCCCTGGGTGTCTGGGCACGGTCCCATCTCAGCGGGGCTGGCTGCCTTCCTGACGCTGACATCGCCACGCGTGCACGCGCACACACACGCAGCACCCCACCCTGGGTGCTCAGCCTCCTCCCTGCTGGCTGTAGTGGCAATGGTCTGGCTCCCTTACTCTGGGTGCTGAGAGCAGCCACGCCAGCGCCAAGGCAAAAGCAGCTCATGGCCTTTGCAGCAACTTCCTCCCTCCTCGCTGCCAGATGGGCACTTGCCGGCTCCTTCCTCCTCAGCCTCCTTACTGAGAATGTCCCCTGCAGCCTCCAGGGGAGCCTGCGCTCCCATCAGGTCCAAAGACCCTGCACCTGCCCCTCACACTGGCAAAGACCTTGAAGGAGCCCAACCCCCCCAGCCCCCCACGCTGCCACCTTACAGACAGCAGCACTGAGACAAAAAGAGCAAAAACAACCATCCCAGGCCCCGGGGCAGGATGAGAACCAAAGCCCAGTTACTGGGGACTGTGACTCTGACTCTCCCATGACGTGGCCTGTTCCGAGTTCTGCTGCCCTCGGCCGCCAAGTGGAGACTGCTCCTCTCCAGGGCGCACACTGGCTGGACACGGCTCCAGGCACACGCAGGTTCCCAAGAGCAGACAGGACGCCCATGGCAGCGGGAGGAGACGGCAGGCGTGAAGAACTGACTGCCGGCACTTTGGTTGCTCCCAGCTAGCTCTTCTAGGAAGTATCGGGAGCCCCCGTGGTGAGGGGTGGGTGAGGGCTGTTGGCACCCCACCTTGCTCCCAGGTGGCACCTTGCAGGGGCAGCAAGCCTCAGGTGTCTCCTGCTGCCCATTCTGGCTTGCGTTAACAAGCCGGCACGAGAACCGCCGTCGAACATGGTCTGTGGGCTTGGTGAGCTCCGGAATCCATTTCTGAGATAAGACGTACCTGGCATTTTGTTTCGAAATTCGTTTTAGTCCTGTGTGGCGAGATGGCAGACACAGAGACAACTGCCCTTGAAGGAAGAGGTTACTCCTTGGAGCACCCAAGAGGAGGGGCACGTCCACCACACAGGGCCACACGGGGCGGGGAGGGGGGGAGGCAGGCGGGAGGAGCACAGGGGAAGGCCTGCGAGCCTTCAGGGGTGGGAGTAGTTAGGTGGGGACGTCGCCGCCTTGGGCAGGAAGCGAGACACAGAGGGCGGGGCTTGCGGTGGGAAGGTTTGTGAAACCGCGAAGACACAGAGATGGCGCGACCCTAATCGTCTGTGCCCATGAGTTTGGCCCAAGATTTCAAGATGCAAAATCATGAGTCACAGAATATCAAGAATGATCTTTACAGCATTATAGGAAGGTCCTGCCCTCCTCATAGTGAGCAAGTTACTGAACCTGGCAGAGCCTCGGTTTCCCACCTGTCTGTGCCCCTCTCGCGTTCTTATTGTGAGGGTGACCAGCTAAGAACACAGCCGGGATGGCACAAAGCTCCATGCAGGCAGCAGCAGCAGCGACCTTGCCACCAGCCCGCTGCCATCACCGTCACCAGAACACCCCCAAACCCGGCCGGGTCCCCAATCGCAGTGCGCTCCTCTGTTTGCGGGACCGGCAGCCCGGCACACGCTCTGAGGAAAAGATCCCTTCCTGTTCCCTGCGCGTTGTCTTCACACCAGTTCCAGGAATTGCCCTGACAAATATTGACCAGGCTGCCGTGACCTCCGAACACCGTTTCCCTGTGGGTAGGAGGGACGCGGTGCTGAGGACCCAGGCCCCGCTCGTAGGTGACTCTGCTCCGTGAGTACTGTGCCTGTGCCCAGACGCAGGCAGGGGCAGGGCTCCCCTCCCTCCCCCCTCCCCCTCTCCCTCTCCCCTCCCCCGCTGGCTTTGGTGGCAGGGATGACAAAAGTAGGTCTCCTGAAGACAAAAATGCAGCTGCGCACTGCCTCTGAATCCTGAAGGAGGAACCTCAGGTTCTCAATCACTTTTTATGGAAAATGTGGCCTTCAGGAGTTTTGAGAGGGCCCCCCCAAGTATTCCTGGCAGTTAGGCGAAAAGAAAAACAAAAAAAAACCCAGAACAATACAACCCAAAGCAAAATGACAATGTTGCTGTAGCAAATTTACCAGAAGCTCAGTTATGTGGAAAGGGCTGTGCTTAGGAGCCCTGCTCTGGAACCTGAACCTTACCCTGCCTCTCGCAGGTGTGTGTCCAGACGCTGAGTCAGTTGTCCCAGGTGTAGAGCGGGATGATAAGATAACCCTAAGGCTTAAGGCTCTCAGAGGATCAAACAAAGGAAGATAAAGCTAGTGCTTCTCAACAAAGGCACTGCCGGCAGTTGGGTGGGTCATTGCAGGTGGCTGCTCGGGGCATTTCAAGAGCTTTGGGCTGCCCTATTCTCCCCCACTGACCTCCTTCTCCCCCACTGACCTCCGGTATCACCCCTCCTCCAGTCCTTGAGATGATCTGAATTACCACCCCCTTACACACCCCTCCCTCACTTTTGTTGGGAGCCAGTGATAAAATAGATCTAATATCCCCATCACTTAACAAACTCTTAATAAGTGAGATTATAATTCATGCATAACGTTCTTAATTTTCCCCTAGGATCTTTCTGGAAAAAAAGGATTAATAAAGAAATTGGATAACATTACACACAGCTGTGGTAGAAAGGGAAGAAAACTGGTGCCTTTAACACTTTATATGTTGTATAATCCTTACACGCCCCTCCCCCCCGGGGGGAGGCCTTACCGACTGGACTGCACGTTGCAATGTCAGAGAGGTTCCTTTGCACAGTGTCACACAGCGAGTTACTGCAGAGCCTTGATTCAAACCCAGGCCCCTGACTTACAATTCGGTCCCCTGTGGGAAACAGATCCTTCTGCAATCTGGAGGTCCTTGGGGTGCAGCTCGATAGAAAATGGTGTTGAATTCAATAGGATAAAAAGAATACACTAGAAATAGTTTCATCACAGCTGCTTTCTTATTTTACCCAGGGGCAGACCGATTTTTAAATTGTTTTTCATCTTCCCAATTGTCCAGCAGAAAGCATATCCGAAGTGTAAGGAAACTGTCATTAAGCGAGCCCACACTGAGCTGTGCTGGAGGAGGGAGGACGTGGCCTTGGGGATGGCAGTGCCCACAGGACTTTGACCAGCAAACACGTTTCCACACGACAGATAATGAGGCTGCATTTGTCCCTCGCTTCAGCTGGCCTTTGGGTTTGGTGAGGTATTTAGGACACCCAGAGCTATAAACCATCTGCAAAAATATGATCTCTCCTGCCCCGTCATGGCACTTGTAATGGATCCAGAAGTCACAGGTTTGGACAAAAAACATTAAAGGTGCCAGTTAAGATATAGATGTTATCAGGACAAACTAAAAGCAAGGATGGGGTGGCCAGCAGTGCACGGCCACTGTGTTAGGGATACGTGGCACAAAGCAAGTTGGCAGGGTTGGTTCCTTGTGGGGGCTGTGAGGGAGGGTTTGTCCCACGTCTCCCTCCTAGTTTGCTGGCCATCTTCGGCATTCCTTGGCTTCTAGCCGATCACCCTGGTCTCTGCCTTCCTCTTCACATGGTATCCTCCCCGTGGGCATGTCTGTGCCCAAATTTCCTTCCTTATAGGGACGCCAGTCATATTGGATTAGGAGCCTTCTCCAGTGACCTCATCTTAACTAATGACATCTGAAATTATCTTACTTTCAAACAAAATTACACTCTGAAGTACTAGGGGTTGGGAGTTCAGCATGTGAGTCTTGGGCAGACACGATTCAACACACAGCAGATAACTTCCCTACACCCACATTGACAAATCCAGAGGTCTCAGCAGCTGCCTAATGGCCATGCCTAGGGCCGAGGAAGGCCCAGCATTACTCGATGGCAGAGTATCTGGAACGTTTGCTCCGTACCATTCTTCTTGATTTGTAATCCCATATATATTTGCTTATTTAGCTACTGAGTGTCACCTAAACTAGTGTCAGCAAGGCCCTAAGCTTTATGAGATCAAGAATTATGTTTACTTCCTTCCCCTACTGGTTACTGAGGACCTAGTGCATTCCTTGGACTGCATAGACACTTGACAGTTAATGAATGATTAACTTTCATTGAAAAGTCATTGAAGGAATAACTGGTAAAAAAAAGAAAGAAAAGAGGAAGGAAGGAAGGAAGGAAGGAAGGAAGGAAGGAAGGAAGGAAGGAAGGAAGGAAGGAAGGGAGGGAGGGAGGGAGGGAGGGAGGGAGGCAGGCAGGCAGGCAGGCAGGCAGGCAGGCAGGCAGGCAGGCAGGCAGGCAGGCAGGCAGGCTATGGAAGTTATTTTGTTTATAGCCCAGAGTCCTTTACACAAAAAATCTTGGAGCCCAATCGATATGCAAAGCAGACAAAGGCTGCTGCCCTGACTGAAGTCTTGGAGGAAGGTGTCCAGAGTCCTAACCACTCATCCACCACCCTGTCCTCTGCAGTGCCCCTCATAGTACCCTGGTGAGGTACAGTGTGAATGGTGGGGTTTGTTGTACAAGCAATGGAGAACCATGTGTTATTTATGAAGAAGGCTGACATGTTCACCCTCTTATTTTCAGAGAATGGGGCCAGCTTGGCTGTGGCTGCTGGGAGCAGGAATCCTGGCCTCTGTCCAGTGTCAGCCCCTTCCTGCCCATGGAGAAAAGAGTCTTGGGGGCCTGCAGCCCTCCAGCCACCAGCTCTCAGAGCCAGCTCCTGCCTACCACAAAATCACGCCCACCATTACCAACTTCGCCCTGCGTTTGTATAAGCAGCTGGCAGCAGACAGCCCCGGCAATGTCTTCTTCTCCCCGGTGAGCATCGCTGCCACTCTGGCCCTGCTTTCTCTTGGGGCCCAGGCTAACACCTCGACCCAGATCCTGGAGGGCCTCGGCTTCAACCTCACAGAAACCCCAGAGGCCGACATCCACCGGGGCTTCCAGAGCCTCATCCGCACCCTGGACCTGCCCAGCCCCAAACTGGAACTAAAGGTCGGCAGCTCCCTGTTCCTCGACAAGCAGCTAAAGCCTCAGCAGCAGTTTTTGGACAGCATCAAGGAGCTGTATGGAGCTTTTGCCTTTTCTGCCAACTTCACGGATTCTGTCACAACCGGGAGGCAGATTAATGAGTACGTGAGGAAGCAAACATACGGGCAAATCGTGGACTGCCTGCAGGAGTTCAAGCAGGACACGCTCATGGTTCTCTCCAATTACATCTTCTTCAAAGGTGAGGGCTGACTCGGGGCTATCGCCACCTCCGCCGCAAGTGCATGCTGCGATTGCAGAGACAGCCAACAGGTTCCTTGCTAGCCTCTCGGGAGGACCTATGAATAGAGTTTTTCCACCCTTGTGTAGCTCAAGTCCCATGTGGGTCAGGAATATGTAAAGAGGCAGTGTAGCTCAGCGGGCAGTGATGCTCCTCTTGGGTGGGAATGGGTGTCACAAGGCTCTGAAAGCAAACACCCACCAAGACTTGGGGAGGAGGGAAGCTTCCTGGGGAAAAAGCCACCTAGGCTCAGACATGAAGAATGAGTCACATCTACTCAGATGAAGAGTCTTGGGAGAAGAAGGCAAATTCAAATGGAAAACAATAGCATGTATAAAGGTCCAGGGAAAGAGAAACCATTGTATTTTCAAAGAACTGAAACGAACTTAGTGGGGCTGAAACATCAGACATGATGGAGGATGCCCGGAGGGAGGCCCGGGGTTGTGGTGCAGAGAGAAGCGAGGCCGTGCTGAGCACCCTACACTTTATCCAGGGAATCTCAGAATTGCCAAAGAGCCTTAAGCATGAAGGAAAATGATCACATCTGTTTCAGGAAGATCAGTCTGGCCACAATTTAGAACAGGCATCCTCAAACTGCGGCCCACGGGCCACATGCAGCCCGCTGAGGACATTTATCTGACCCGCTGGGTGTTTGTGCCACCGCTGCCTGTCCTGCTTAGCAGCCGACTTGTCCCGGGCCCACAGTGCGCATGTGTGGAATGTGCGCCGCACTCTCTAATGGCCCTCCAACGGTCTGAGGGACAGTGAACTGGCCCCCTGTTTAAAAAGTTTGAGGACCCCTGATTTAGAAGATGGTTTGGAGGGGAGAAAAGGTGGGAGAGGAGAGACAGGAGGTTCTCAAAGTGGTCCAAAGTAAGTTGCAATGGTGGCCCTGAGTAACATTGTGGCTTTGGAGGTAGAATCAGCTATGCTTGGTCATTGACTGGATTGGTGTGGGCATGGGGGGAGGATGACCAGCTACCCCCGACCCTGCCCGTCATCGAGACCAGTGCTCACCACAGGTGGTTGTGGGGAAGATTGTAAGAGGTAAGAGGGAAGACACTACGCTGTGGACGTGACTGTGACGTTTCTAACTACAACGTACGGGCTTTTGTATTGTGCATTACATTTTATCAACTACATTCTTTCTCCTTTTTCAGTTTGAGGATTGGGGAGTTGATAGGGTGTGAAGGAAGAAGCTCTTGAGCTTCTCTGCTGAAGGTTGTGTTCTGGAGGGAGCTTGGCTGAGTTTTCCAAATGACCTGAGCCGTGGGGTCAGAGTCAGGTCACCCACCCCAGCTCAGCCATTTCACAGCTCTGAAAGCTGGGATGTTTAAATAAATTCACAAAGACTCAGCTTGCTCACTCCTAATATGGGGATAATAACACTTGTTTGTTATTAGCATTTGTGATGATTAAAAGGATAATACCTTGCACGTGGAAGGTGCTTAGAAAAAGGGAATAACATTCGGCTTCTCAAAGGCTAAGTTCCTCTGAAATGAAACAAAATCATAGTTCCTTAGGGCTCAAACCGTGGAGACTTGCTCTAGTGGCTGAGCCAGGCCTAGATTCTAGCCTCGTAGTTCTGTATCCGCACCACGCCCTTGCCTCATGCTTACTATACCCAAGAGGAAGTCATCCGACCAGTGTGGCTCTGTGTCCGTCTGCCCAGAGTCGCTCTCTCGGGCTGTGTTCTCATGGTCTTATGGGTTTTGTGTCCTAAGCCAAGTGGAAGCATCCTTTCCATCGCTACCAGACCCAGAAGCAGGAGAGCTTCTTTGTGGACGAGAGGACCTCTCTCCAGGTCCCCATGATGCACCAAAAGGAAATGCACAGATTCCTGTACGACCAGGAGGTGGCTTGCACCGTCCTCCAGATAGAGTACAGCGGAAACGCCCTGGCGCTTCTAATCCTCCCGGACCCGGGGAAAATGAGGCAGGTGGAGGCCGCTCTGCAGCCAGAGACCCTGAGAAAATGGGGCCAGTTGTTCCTGCCCAGGTAAGTGTCAGAGCAGAAAGACTCGGGGTGACCTTGCTCAAGAGCTCCAGCAGGTCCCAACCAGCTCCAGTCACGAAAGCCCGGTGTCTGGCCGTGGCTTACTCCTCGTCTTGCCCTTTGCTGCATGGTGATCTTGGTCCATTTCCTCACATCTTTGGGCTCAGATTTCCTCAACTGTGGAAATAAGGACATGATCACCTACCTCATTGGGTTCCTCAGAGGGTTAATTGAGTTAATACTTAATGGAGAATTTATGCTGGTACGTGGAACATGAGAGGTGCTCACAGGGCACCAACTGTTACTAATTTTATGTCTTTCTAGGGTCTGTCCCAGCCTCCTGCCCTCTTGGTTCCCTCTTTGTCCCTATCAGATGGTGGTTAAGTGTAGCCAAAAAATCAGACCAAGGACAAGTATTAAGAATAATCATGACTTCTACAGAACAGTGTGTATTTTTAAAAGGTGCTCCTTTTTTGATTAAAATACTTTAAGAAGTTAAATATCAAGAAGTGCCAATTTTATGTGATCTCTCACCTATCCCCTTCCATCTCCCTTGCTTTTGGTTTGTGGTTTTGTAATGGCAATTTCAGCTTTTCCTGGTTTTCCTAGACAGATTTCACAGCTAACCCTTCTTTTATGGGGTGCTCTGGGATGAAATCTGGTACTGAGTTCTAATTACCTCTTGCTGCATAACAAGCCACCCCAAAATGAATAGCTTAAACAACTACCATCCTTGATGCTGTGGGTTAACTGGGCTCAGCTGAGCGGTTTTCATGCATTGGGACAGATGGTCACTGGGGCTTGAGCCACTGAAGGCTCCTTGGCTCCTGTGTCTAGTGCCTGAGCTGGGCAGGCTGGAAGAAATTAGGGCTGAGCATGCATTGTTCTTCCCAGGCAGTGTCTCTTCAAGGCTAGCTCAGGCTCAGCAGCTCAGCATAGTTGATGTCAGTATATGGCAGCTAAGGGCTCCAAGACAGTGATCTGAAAGATAGGTATTGAAAGCCACCTCTCTTAAGGCCTGGGACCAGAAATGAGCAAAATGGCACTTGTGCCATGCTGTGTTGGTCAGACCAATCTCAGAGCCCACCCAGATAAAAGGGGAGGGTCATAAACACCACCCCCTAATGGCCACCTTTAAACTACCACAGTCTGGTGAGCACCAGCCACACCTGCCCCATACCCACAGGTGACTTCTTTCCATGCCCCATCCACGCTGAGGTGCCTGGGATAGAGAAAGGGTGTTTTGTATTTGGGATGGAGATTAAAGCACCAAATAAGAAGTACAGGCCTGGGGGAGAGGGCAGGATTTAAGAGATTATCCCTGTTGTCTGTGAATCCATGCAGCTCTAGTCAGTCAATAAATTCAGCCCCACAGTCTCTAGCTCCTTTGGGGTAAGCCTGCTCCTTTCCCCCACCACAAGAGGGAGAACCACAGGATCTTCTAGACTAGTAGATTTTCCCTCAGGAAGGATTTGGTTTGACTGCTCCTCACTTTGACCTTCTAAAAGCAAAAACCAAGCCAAGTTACTCTTCTAAACCTCACATGCTGCCTGCGCTGGAGGGTTCTGACACCACAGTAGGCATTTTCATGGGCTTTCCGGCATGAGCACTTCAGACTGTGCCAGGTTTCCTGCTATTCAGATGTGGGACAGTTAGCTTGCCAGGGCAATCATGCTTCCTGGCACACACCACTCATTTATTCACATTTGTGGCGCACCTACTGTGCGTTTGGCTTGCTCTCAAATGCCCTCATGCAAAACCAGACTCCACTGAACCCCCCACCCCCGCCACACTGGGCAGGGGCTCCCCCCCCACCCCTGGACAATTGGTCAAGCAGGCCAGGAGGTCCTCCAGCTTCAGTTAGGCATCTGGACTCTCACATTGCTTGGGAGTTAAACTGACAATTCTCTGACCTTAATTAGATTCTCTAATCTGAATTCGTCAGAGACAGAAGTCTCCACCTTGGTTATTAACTAGTCAAGCTTGCAGGGGTCTGGGCAACTGTCAAGCAATAATTAAGGAGAAGAATCATCCCGGGGAGAAAAAGACAGATTTGCTCTGGATCCAAAGAAATTTCTGAACCTAACCCAGGGAACGAGGCAATCCGATGGTAAAGGCAGGTCAGTGAGTCGAAGGAGAGCCGTTCTATTGATTCATGCCCACGTCTTGCTCACATGACCTCTCATCAGACCCCACGGAGTGGGCATCACTATCCCATTTTACAGATGAGGGAACTGAGGCTCAGACAGGTGAGATGATGGTGGCTTGTATCAGGGAGATGCCGGTAGACGGATTTAGGATACAGTTCAGAGGTGGAGGGGTAGGAAAATGTTAACAGTATTTACCTCACACGATCATTCATTCTGTGGATTTAATCCGTAAGCCTTGTTAAACCCTGGCCAGCATTTGGCACCCTCTGCAGAGGAAGCCCTCTGTTAAGTGTGATGTGGACGGTGAAGACATAAAACTGTGCCAGGAGTCTTCTCCGATCCAGCCACAAGATGCACCATGAGGTCCAAGAGAAGGGAGCTCTGGGAATGGGCAGTAGAATGTTCTGCCAGAGCAAGGAATGTCGTGGGAGGACCGATTGCCTCTCACGCTGGGAAACACTCATCTCTCCCACGGCTTAGGCTGCTCACAAACAGAGCAAGGAAAGAACATATAATGACACAGTGTCGTTTCTCTGTGATTCTCTCTCCAGTCTGTTGGATTTGCATTTGCCAAGGTTTTCAATTGCTGGGACGTATAACCTGGAAGAGGTACTTCCGCGGATTGGTCTCACCAACATATTCAACTCGGAAGCCGACTTATCAGGGCTCACTGGGCAGCTCAACAGAACCATCTTCAGGGTATGGCGCTGCATGTGGGGCGGGCGGGTCTTTCTCCTTTGACATATGATACATTTGAAAGTCAGGTTCCCTGCTCTTTTTCCTATTCGGATTCTTCAATAGCACAATCTTTAAGGCCTCTCCCCATGGGCAACTCCCTCTCCACCCCCCTCTTCTTCTTCATCACTAGATTCCTCAGAGCCGGAACACAGGGCTCTGCACAGAGTGGATGCTCATCCGGGGTCATCCGTGAGCTGGGATTTCTGCAGGCGTGGGATAGCTTTATTTTTATGCCCCGTACTTCCTCCCAGGGCAGGTGCATCTCTGGTCATCTCTGCTGCGGTAACAAAATATCCCCCACACCCAGTGCCTTGCCACAACAAAGGCTAATTTCCTGCTCCTATAACCCATCAGAAGCCGGTCACAGCCACTGGCTACAGAGCTGCCACACACGTCTCCTCTGCAGGATGTGGGTCAAAGCAGAAGCCCCTACTTGGAACATGCCATTCTCACAGCAGGGAAAGCAAGAGAAGTTGTGCGGTGGCTCCAAACACTTCCCCAAACACGTGGCCTGTGCCGTGGCCACTCCCATCCCATTGGCTACAACCAGTCTCACAATCAAGACCATTGTCCCTGGCAAGGGGCTTGTTTTCCCCTTCAGGAAACACCGACAGTCTGGTGGAATGGGCAAAGACTGAAAACCTTCTCACAGGAAGGGACAGTGAATATTTGGGGATAATCGTGTGTTCTTCCACAGAAGGGGAGGCAGCAAAGGCCCGTCCCTGAGCTGTGGCTGTCCTTTTTGTTTTAGGGTAGAGTTGTTCATTACCATACGAGTCTGTGTTAGGAGCTTCATAAGGAAAGTATTGTCTTTTATTTGGGAAGGATCTGCTGGGGGTTGAACGTGCAACTGAGGCAACAGGCACGTGGCTCTGTGTGTGTGTGTGTGTGTGTGTGTGTGTGTGTGTGTGTGTGTGTTGGGAGGGGAACAAGAGGGAAGAGAAATAGTTTAGTTTTTTAAAGAATCTTTTTCACAGTGACCTTAAATGCTAGATTTATCTTTTCATAGAGCTTTTTAGAAATGAAAGGGATCATCAAGGCCAATGTTTTTTCAACTTTTTTTTTTAGCCTCAGAATCCTTTCTTCCTAGGAAGCTGTGTGAAAATGAGGTTAAAAGAGAAAGAAGAAGAAGAAGAGTCCTCATATGGAGGCCGGGAGAGGACTTGGCACTTCTCATAACTGGTTCCACTGAGCTCATTCTGAGCGCTGTGGATTTAGGCTGGGCAAGCCACTTTAAAGATGAGAAAACTGAGGCTTAGAGAGCTTAAGTGCAGCTCATAGCAGAAAATGACAACAAAGCCTTGGCCACATGCACTCAGGTGCCTGAGAAATGCTCCTAGAAGTCGCTGTTGGGCTTTGCAGCCTGGTGCCCGCTTGGCAGCCCTCAGCCTGATTCAGGCCCTCGTGTCTCTGGCCCACGCTGCCAGGGCAAGCCCTCGGGACGTGACAGAGGAGAAGGTGGAGAGAGCTGGGAAATGAAGTGCAGGCTGGAGTTGCACGTGGGCAGACAGGGCCCACGGGGCGGAAGTGGGGTAGCCCCACCTCCCCCTCCCCGGGGCTGCAGAAGGCACTACCTGACCCTCGAAGGCCCATGAATGCCGCTGTCCCTGTCCCTTCTTCTCTCCTTGTAGGTGTCACACAAGGCAGCAGTGGCCATTAATGAGAAGGGCACCGAGGCAGCCGCTGCTTCAGGCCTCCTCTCCCAGCCGCCGGCCCTGAACGGGACCTCAGCCCCGCCTGCTCATTTCAGCAGGCCGTTCCTCTTGCTCCTGTGGGAGGTGACCACCCAGAGCTTGCTCTTCCTGGGAAAAGTTGTCAACCCAGCCGCAAGGTGACTGCGGTGGGAGGCCGGGGGGGGGGAGGGGTCTTACCTCTCCCCTAACCAAACAGGTGGGCCAGCACCACCCTGCAACCCTGCTGTGTGGGCCAGTGCATCAGTGTGACGAGATTCCAATAAAGTTGACCTTGGGTTTGTGAACACGGAGGAGCCATGTGTTCCCAGAGCAGCTTCGAGCCGTTCGCTGATGACTATCTCAAATCTGGTGTTAGCTGTGGTTGGAAAGCTGAATATGAGAACAGCCCTCCTGCTATGGCCTCCCAGGAGACATCTGCCACCACCGCCGCCATCGTAGATACTTGCTGAGCATAGCCTGGGTAAGAGTCACGTTAAAAGGCACAGAAGCATCAGGAGGAATAAGTGAGTCCCTCCCCTCAAGTGGCCAATCTGGCTGTATAGCCAAGTTGTCCTGAAATGCCATCGCCCAGATGTCAGGGGTTGGATAGCCTTGGGAGGAGCTGGGACCTGGGGCAGCACCAAGCCATGCTCCTCATAGAGAAGCGGGTAGGAGCATGGGCAGATGCAACAACAGGTCAACCGAGCAGGGGAGGCCAAATGCAAGCAGCAAGAAAAGAGTGTCAGAGCCCTGGAGGACCCCAAGACCAAAGAAAATGGGAAGGTCAACACGACCAGGAGGGATGACGGGCAGAGGGCAGAGCCAGTGGGGTGGACTGGGGGCCGTGCTCGGTGGCAACAGGGACTTCAGAGACTGGAAGTCCGAGCCCCCAAGGCGTGCTGCTCCAGGAGGCCTTCATGGGAAGAAAACAAAGGGACGCCAGCTGGGCTGCATGCACATGACAATGCCCACCACTAGAGGGTGCTGTAGGTGGTGCATGCCTAGGGAGGCGCCTTCCCCAAAGGTACCATGTGGTAGAACCCCCACCCCAAGGAGGTGAGGCTTGGATCTTGAAAACCAGGTAAGCCTTAAACAAGGAGAAAAGGGCAGGACAGCTTGGGGGAGGGCAGGGCAGAGATGCTATGGGCAAAGGCCACTGGGGAAAGAAAGGAAAAGCTATGTTCCATAAAATGAGAGAAAGCCAGCTCTGCAGCCACGGACAGTGCAGGCAGAGCACAGTGGAAGGTGGTGCTGGAGACGCGATCGGCAGTGCAGGTTGGAGGCTCTGGGTGCCTGGGGAAGGAGTGTGGGCTTGGTCCTGTAGACCGTGGGAGCAGCTGTGGGCCTGCGGGCAGACGTGGATGTGGGCACAGTGGTGACAAGGAAGGGATCTGACAGCTGGGCATGGTGAGAGCGGGTGGGCTGAGGCCACGGGGAGGGGCAGCCAGGACTCACTGCACTGTGAGGTCCACCCGACCACGCTGCACGCGTGGTCCACTCACCTGGCACTTCTGCACAGGCTCGTTATTAAATACTAGGAATGCAACAGGGAACAAAACAGTCAGTAAGCCCTGCCTTCGGGGGCTTGCACTCCAGAGGGGGAAAGCACACGGGAAAAAACAAATAAGTAAAGTGCATGCACTATATGAGAAAGGCGGGGACGAATCCTCTGTGGTCAAGAATATGCCCAGGAAAGTCTCCGTGGTGGACATGGAGAGGCAGCCGGCCCCTCTGGCGGGGACAAAGTGGATCGCTGGTGGGGAAGCTGGATTTAATTAAGCCCAAGGCTGCAATGTGTCCACAGCATCCTTCCTGAGGAAGGGGAACCACAGCGACTGCAAGATGCCTGCCTGTCGTCTCTTCTGAAAAAGTGGCACTTGATTGAGACTATTCCCAACAACCATGAGAGGGGGAGCTACTGATACATCTCCATCTTACAGATCGGGAAACCGAGGCACAATGTGCTAGCCTATGGCAGAGCCTGGATTTGAACGCTGGCTGTTCATCTCCACAGCCTAAATGCCTAACCTCTCTGCCACACTTCCTCACGTGAGCACAATTCGAAAGCCATCCGGCCGCATCTCACTGGCTGCCACTCTGCGAGGACCTGACTCCCAGGGCCAGAGGAAGTAAGAGGGAGGAGAAACCACGTGAGCAGGAGCACTGGACAAAGACCTTCTAGGGAAAGACCCAGAAGCAGGGGTGGAAAATCGGTGGTTTAAGAAGCACATACTGAGGACAGGGATGTGCCCTTCATTTGTCCCTGGTATAGGGAGTGGCACAAATGATCAGCAAAACACCTTTTCTACCTTAATGCTGGGAGGGAGGAGTTATGTCCCACAGTGGAATGAAGGGAGCGAACAGCGTGGTGAAGGACGCGGCACACAGGGGCGCTAAGCCTTGTGCGAAGGTTGAGTGGGATGGACTCTGCTCTATCCCAAGCTCTGCAGCCAGCACTCTCTCTCTCTGGTCTTCTGGGAGGCCAGTTGAGGCAGGCTTCCTGGACTCTCCTTACTTACACCCTTCCACCCCCTGGGCAACCTTGGTTACATTGCTTTTCCCTTTGTGCCTTAGTTTACTCTGCAAAATGGAAAGTCCAAAACCCACTTTACAGAATTCTTATGAAAATGAAATGAAGGCATAAGTGTGAAACATTAAGCACTGTGTGGGGGTGGGTCTATTTCTAGACTTTCTATTTCACAATTCTATTGAACTATTTGTCTTTTGTTGTGTCAGCACCACGCCATCTTAATGAATGTAGCTTTAGAAGTCTTGATATTGTCAAGTCCTCCAGCTTTGTTTTCCAGAGGTGCTTTGCTTGTTTGTGTTTTGTTTTGCTTTCAGTGTTTGTTTGTTATCCTACCCACTCCAGAAGTTCTGGCTAACCTGGCTGGTGACTCTCTGTTTTTCCAGCTGAAGCCTTCCAGACTTTTATGCCTCCCACACTTAGATAAGTCCCAATTCCTATATTAAAACCCTTTATTACAAAAATGCCCACAGTGCTTCTGTTTTCCTAATAAAAGCCAGACTGAGTCATCTGAAAACATCTTTGTTCTGCCTTGAAGGATATTTTTACTGGGTATAGAAATTCAAGTAGCCAGACACTTTCTTTCTGTGTCATAAAGATGTCACCCCCCATTGTATTTTGACTTTCACTGTCTGGTTTGAAAAGTTATCTATAAGTCCTATTATTATCCTTATAAGGTAATGGATTTTTTCCTTTGGCTGTATTAAAAAATTTTGCTTTGTTTTTGTCTTTCATCTGTTTCCAAATGTATAGTATTTTAGTATTAATCCTGCTTGGGGTTCCTATAACTTCTTGAATATGAGATTTGATGTCTGTTT